AGAAATGGCTTTCAGCACTGCTGCCTTGTCTGGCTAAGGTTTATAGGGTATTGGTCTTGTTCATCGTGTGTATGCTTTAAATGAAAAGTTTTAACACTGACTGAATATCAGAAGCACCTGTGTTCCCCAGTCCAGTTGCACTGGAAGTTCTAGGGATGGTATTTTTTTTTTAAAATCTTTAAATGATTACAATGGGCAGACACGGTTGAAAACCACTAGCTTATACTATAAGAAATTCAGTATATACTGTTTTCATTTAGTTTCTGATATTGACAGATAATTTTATCTTATTTAAATGAGTAAAATGATATGGCTGTTTCTTTAAAGGTAGACTTATTGTTTCTATTAAATCTGTATCTGAGTTTGAAATGAGAAGTCTGTTCATTTTTAAATGATCTATTTTTTCATAATGAAGGGCTGTGTATATTTAATAAGAGTAGAGAATCACAGAATGTAAAATGTAGGCATGCTTGCAAAGGGGCAAGCAGAGGGTAGACTCTGAAGTCAGTCTTGGCTTGCAGGGGCCTCTTAACTTACTGGATGTGTGCTGTGGTGGCACATCGCTTCCCCCAGCCTGCACTCTTTCATCTCCGTGAAGCTGAGATGAACATGCACTTTGTGCAGTGACAACTACGTTTCACACTGTGTGCACGAGCACACACACACACACACACACACACACACACACACACACACATCTCAACTCTGCCTCCTGCCTGATCCCCGCGCCATCTGCTGCGGATATCCAGAGCAGGGACTGTGTGGGAGCCCCAGCAGGACTGTCTGAGCCTGCAGGACCAGCTGCTGGGAACTACTCTCTCACAGTCTTCAGGAATCGTATCTCTGGCTCTGTTGGGACCATTTCATGACTGACTGGATCCCATGACCTTTCATAAGCATAACATTTAGTTTGTGGTGTCAGTCACTGCTGGCTTAGGGTGATGCTGTGCCTCAGACTAGGGATGAAGATGGTATCTTGTCACATGGTGGAAGCTTCTGGGAACCCTCTGTTTGAGCTCTAGAAAATACTGTGCAGGACACAGATGGCTACTATCTCTTTCCAGCTGTTTTCCCATCCATGCTTCTTTGTGTTGAGTGGGGACAATGGGAAGCCACCACCTATATCTTAGGAGGAAGCGCAGAAAAATAATAGCTCTCTGATTTTTTTTATGTTAGTTATAGTAAATTCTGTCTCCCTCCTCAACCTTGTGTTTTAGATCCTCAAGCATAGGGCTATAAAATTATTAGGCCACCCATGTCTCCTGTTGCACTTTCTTGGTAGTATACAAAGATTGTGGTTTGTGGGTGTTTCTTATTAGTTGTAAAATTCAATGCCTGGGGTCTTGATTTTGGCTGTGGTGTTTCAGTGTCCATTCCATTTGTAGACCTGGCTGTAGAGCTATCTTCAGTCTTAATTTTGTGTCACTATCAGTCTGTACTGATCTTAATGCTTCATTAAGAATTTCTATAAATTGTACCAACTTCTCATTATTAGAAATAGTGGTAGCTTTGTTGATTTTTTTTTTGTAAGTTTGCTAAAGAGGTTGTCAACCATTACCTTAGTTGGTTGGGATTTTTAACCTAAATCTTGTGCTCTTCCACTAGGTGATGAGACTGTTGAGTGTAGAAACCATGTTTTTCTGCTTAGCATTGCTGCAACAATTATTTATTATGCACTTACAAGGTGGGTAGAGACTTTGCTTTATTTTGGTTAACAAGCATAAAAATTATGTACGTGTAAGGAACCTTATTTTAGAGAGCTTTAGCAAACTGTCTAAGGTCATCTAGCTTATAAGACATATAGCTTGATTTTGAACTCAGTTTGACCTTAAAATCCTTCTCTAAGCCATCTTTCTAAATTCCTTCTTGAAGGAAATGAAAGAAGCACGTAAGAGGGTGAGATATTGGCCTGTAGAGGGTTGGATGGCATTCCATAGTAGGAGACAGCTAAGGAGCTGCATTCATTCCTATAGCAGACAGAACAGCTGCATGTTTTCCAAGTCCTTGCTTTTTCCACTGACTACATTAACTTGCATCACTGGCATACATGATCACATAATGAAGACTTGTTGGGGAAACAGACCCTATCACCTTCAAGGCGAAGTCACCTCTATAAGAGGCTTTAGCTTATGCGGGTCTTCATTTCCTACTTCTTATTCAGGTCAGAGAGATCTTTAGATTATGTGAAGTTGTCTGTTACTGATACGGTTGTGGGTTGAGGCTGTCTGGTAAGAGTCTGAAGAGGACTGAGGTGAACCCATGATGCTAATAGGTGATAAGCAGTCAGGATTATGTTGGTGTCAGCCTTGGCTTACAGGGGATACTCTGTAGTCAGTCCCTCTGTTTGTGGCTTAGGCCCTTAGAATGTGCCCACTGGCTTTGGCAAAAAAGAGGAGGTTTATAAATGCCTTAACCACTTGAAACTTGTTGGTTATGCCCAGAGAACATTTTTTAAACATATTTGTAATTATAAATTTAAGTCCTACTGAGTGTGGAAGCAGTTATTTCATGCAGGACAAAAAAGAAAAAGCTTTTTACAGGGCTTAATTCCTTTCACAAACGTGCTTTTTAGTGACTGGGAAATTCCTAGTATAGGAAAAAAATGTCCTTTTGTACAAATGAGGTCATTCTGGTTTTAATTGGCCGTGTGCACTGTAGTTCCTGCTTTCTGTCCCATGTCTTGTGACCAGAGGTCATTGGAAGGATAATCCCTTGTGGATATTCACTGTGTTGGAGGCATGTTGCCAAAGGGAAAGTTATCTTAGATCAGAAACTGCCAAACCAGTGCAGTTGGCCCTGATTCCATGGGAGCTAAGCCAGTGACTGATAATGACTTGGTTTAAGCTGGTATGGGTTGGGTGGTTTCAGGACAGTTTCTTTTTGTCTTCACCCTGCTGCATCTGTTCATTCTCTTTAGATTTCCAAGATATTTCTTTTCTAGGTATGTTCCATTTATTCTGATTCTCCCCTGATGAGCAGAGACATCTGTACCAGTTTGAGATCTTGTTCATCTTTTTTACCTGGTGTAAATGAAAAAACAACTGCTTAAAGGAGTTGCTGTCTACTTTTCCTTGGAAAGCTTGGAAGCTGATTCTTCCTACAATTAATCTGTGGGTTAGTTGGACTAACTCACAAAATATGTCTGAGGCCTCCAGTTTTCAGCACAAGAGGGTCCTCCTACATGGTAGTGAAGAGTAAATCTCAGTGAATGTCCCTGATTTAATTTAAGTTCACTCTCCTCTGGCTTGAAAATAATCATTTCCTCCCAAGGAGGGTGATAAAGGTTTGAAGAATGTTAGGCGGGAAGATTGTCACGTCTATCCTGGATGTTTTATAAAGAGGTGAACATGGACTGGGTCTAAGTACTAATTGACATAGCTTCTGGGGTCTTTCTTAAATTATATGCCTTTAAGGCAGTAACTCTGAAGGATCAAGGACAAGAAATTTATACTTATTAACTACTTTTTAGGTACCAGCTCTGTGCTGGACCTTTTCAACCGATTACCTTTTCAGGGATACTAGGTTCATACAATAATTATCAGTTGCCCATGAAATCACCAAGCTGTGATGCTGGCTCAAATAGTTTTATAAATTAAATTTTATTTTTGATTTGTTAGGCATTAATAATATGAGGGAGTTTCATTGTGATAATTCCATACTGTGTACAGTGTACCTTGAACCTGTGTATGGTATTCACCCTCTCTATTATATTCCCCTCTTTCAAGCAGTGCTTAGTGGGTTTTATTATGCTGTCTTCATGGGCTGTTTGCCTCATACTTCCATCCTGTCCACCACTCGGGGTCCTTTTTCCTCCTCCCTTCTCCCATTGAATCCCCCACCAGATAGTGCCTCAATCACAGTTCCCTGAAATTTGTTCTGCGCTGTAAATGGATCAGTGTTTTACTAAGCCTTTGGTGGGTTTTTCCTGCTCAATCGACTAAGTACTTTTACTAAAAATATTCACTTTCTTGTCACTGAGAATTTGGTTGGTTCTTATCATAATTCTTTTTTTTTATTGTTCTGGGTGAGGGTACATTATGACATTTACAAAGGTTCTTACAGTATATCAAATGCATCACACTTGAATTCACCCCTTGCATCATTCTTTTCATAATTTCTTAATAAAAATCTATCTTGTAGGATCTTTTTTTCCTTAAGTCTAAAACTCCCTAAACTTGGGCCCTGCTGCCTAAATAACTCTGAGAATAATCTCTTGATCAAGGATTTTAAAACTATCTTGAGCTGTCCTTGGGTAGAGAGGATTATGTAATTCAGTCGTGAACTGATTAAATATTTGCTGTAGGTCCCAATTTTTTTTTTTTTTTGGTCTAAAATGTTTGTGGCTCCTCTAGGAGGTACTGAAAAGAATTTCCGCTTGAAATCTCTTGGGATACAGAGGAAGTCAGGCTGACTACTCATTGATGTGATGGCTGTGTGCTCTGAACCATCTGCTTCCCATCCTAGCCTAGCCTCTCCATGAATTCCTTCAGATGTAGAACCAATGGCGGGGGGTCAACTGAGTTTTAAAATATCTCTTATTATAAAGTTGACTACTTTAACTCAACTTGCTTGTTAGATCATCCTTGAAAGCCTTGTTAAAACATCAAAAAGAAATAGTAAGATGTGTTCCTTCCTTTCAGTTGGTCATCACCTCACACAGATTCTACACCCTGGATTGGAAGAACTATAACTTGTGTTTCTGCAGTACACCTTTCCACTGCTCCCAAAGCCTGTGTCACGTCTGGTGGTATTTTATGGAACTTAACAGCTAATTTAAAAGACTTGGAAAAAAAAGACTCGGAAATACTATCATATTTGAACTTGGGAAATTTTGGGCAATCTCCGAGTGTGTCATTTGTACCTCTGGGAAAATGGGTTAATCATGTAAAATGAAAACTCTCCTGAGATTATTCAGAAGCTTGCATCTGCCTGAAATGCGTTGCGTGGGAATGGCACTGATTTGCTGATGATGTATTTCTGTTATTGTTATTGTCCTGCAGCCTCAGACAATACAGCAAACTCTCAAGAGCACACTGCAGTATTATGAGCATCAAGTCATTGGGTGAGTAAAAATGGATTTGGGTCATTAATGGGGACCAATTAAAGGAACTCCTCAAGCACAGCAGTGGAGCAATCCAGGTCAACTTTATCTCACAACAGCTATGTTCTCAGAGTGGGGTGGGGATGAAAGCATCCCTTGGAGTGATTTCCTTTGGTTTATTTGTGTTTAATTCTTTTAAATGAAATTCCCTTTTGGAGTTGTTCTCCTCTTCCCCCTTTTTTTCTTTTTCTCATTTTTACCCTCTTATTTCAAGATGGAATCTCATAATTTTTCCTTACTTTTGTGGTAAGGGTTACTGATACCGATGGGGAGACTTTGAAAGGATTTTAGAATTGTTACGTAAAGTTTAACCAAAATCACACTTCAAGGATTGGTATTTATTTATCTAGTGTCAATGCTACATATTTTTCTTCATTTCTCCCTATTTCTCGGAGTGGTTATCTTATGGGTGAAGTAAGAAGACTTGATGTCAATAGGTATGAATTCAAGGCCTCGTCAACACATGAAACTTTTAATCAGTAACTTCATTTTTTTTATAAAGTGTGATGACAATAATAAGTAATCAAGAATTAGGTGTTATGATTAAATGAGTTAAATTCAATGAAAGTATTTTGTAATCAGAAAACTTCAAATGAGCATAGGATATACTTTTGATGCACAATAAGAGAAAGCAGTTGGCAAATAAAAAAGCCTAAATGTACTTTCTTGTACAACCTTGCTTTTTAGATTAAATTTATCAACATTAGAGGCAATTTTTTTTTTTTGCAGTACTGGGGTTTGAACTCAGGGCCTATGCCTTGAGCCACTCCTCCAGCCCTTTTTTATGAAGTGGTTGTTCAAGGTAGGGTTTCACAGAACTATTTGTCTGGGCTGGCTTTGAACTGCGATCCTCCTGATCTCTGCCTCCTGAGTAGCTAGGATTACAGGAGTGAGCCTCCAGTGCCCTGCACAGTGTGTGTCTGTATACTACACTATATACCTCTGTGATTTATCTTTGTGAGGAGTTGAGATTCAGACCCTGATATTTCTTTAAATATCATCATGTCACATTATGGCTAATACTCATTGCCATGGAGATCAAGAAGATGTTACTGGCTATTAGGGTTTAATTTTTTTTTTTTTTACAAAACAGAAGGGAAGGAAACAAATGGAAAGATAATTTCAGTACCTAGTATAATGTCATACACTTTAAGTGCTCGATGATCATGTTAATTGTCATCTCAAAGGGGACAGCTTTGGAACTGTTGTCCTAATTCTCAGGAGTGTAGTACTAGGAAAAACATACTATTTAAACTCATGAGATAGCTTTTATAGTTTGAGGCCATTAGTCATTTTAAGTGGTTTATCCTAATGGAGCTAAAGAATGTCAAATTAATCTTTCCCCACACATTCTAAAATAAAACTTAATCACTCTCCTTGAGTTTGCAACTTTTAAAGTATGGTGTATGGATCAAATTAGTTAAAACACTCAGAACAGTTTCTTCTATGTGATATGCACTGCATATGTGCATTGTTAATATTTTATGACAGTACTCAAATAATTTCTGGGATTACAAACATTCTCTCTGTTTCAAAATCAAGTAACTGATGAAATATTCTCATTTGTGAACTAAACTATGTCTTCAAGGAAAACTGGACTGGGACTCTTTTTGGTAGTACTGGGCCTTGGCCTGCTAGGCAGGTGCTCTACCACATGAGTGATATGCCCAGCCCATTTTTGCCTTAGTTATATTTTTGGATAATGTCTCTTTTTACCCAGGGCCCACCTGGGACCACAAGTCTACCTATGCCTCCATCCAGTCAGGATTATGAGAGTACACCACCATGGCTAGCTTGTTGGTTGAGATGGGGGGTCTTGCTAATTTTTATTGGCAATTGGCGTATACTAGTTGTGTAGGGGGAAATTCACTGTGACATTTATATATATATGCTTATGCCTGAATTATATTCACCCCTTTCATCATTCTCCCTCATTCCACCTTTATCCACTTCTTAGAATTTTAACAGGTTTCATTGCTCTTTCATACCCATATACAAGTACATCCACTATGTTCACCCTCCTTCACTCTCTCCATTTTCCCACCCCTTCCCACTGGTACCTACCCATAGAAAGGACCTTTTTACTGTCTTGTCCTTCAGTCTTTTAAGTGTATATTGGTTGTTCAAGGGGGTTTTGTCTTGGCATTTCACACATGTATGTATTGTACTTGAACCTGATTAACCCCCTCTATTGCTTACTCTTTCTCTATTGCCCTGTTCCCTATTATTCAACAGCTTGCAGTTTTTTTTTTTTTTTTTTTGGTAATACTGTCTTCATACACAGATGCATTGTGTTTCAGTGTTATTCACTCTCTGTCAATTTCTTTTCCTATTCTTCTCCCCCCCACCAGTTTCCTCAAACAAACCCACTATTAAGATCATGTTTTCTCTGCCGCCCTCTAAGTATAAATGATCCTATATGTATTTATGCATAGATTTATCTTACAAGTCTAGCTTCAACATATGAGGGAAAAACATGTGACCTTTGTCCTTCTGAAGGTCTGGATTTTTACTGGCCCCTAACCTTGATCCTCTTGGTTTCCACCTCCCGAGTAGCTGGGATTACGTGGTGTGCACCACAACACCTGGTCCCTAGTGGGACTCTTATAATGTGATCAAAATAGATAACCGAATCATGCTGTGGTAATTAGTAGAACACCTTTTCCCATGGAGCTCTTATTTGTATAACTGCCTCAGTTTTCTTGCTCTGTGTAGACATGGCCTGGGGTGATCCTTTGATCATTGCCTAAATGGTCTTTCCCTAGTTCTGTTTATTCCAGACATATTAAGAATATAGATAATTTGACTTTGATGTAAAGAGACATCTTTATGGCCAATGTGATCCAAATGAATCAGGCATCTACATTAGCATGCCAGTGGATTAAGATATTTTTCCTTGGGAATGGGCTGACTTTTAGGGCTTGAAGTACCTTCACTCACTGCCTTTATTTGCACTTACGTGGATGAAGACAAAAGGGGGAGACTGGCAGCAATTTTGTCACCATTGCCCTTCTCGACTTTGTCATGCCCTTTTTCCTTTTCTCTCTTCACGTGGCTTCCTTTTCCAACTTCCCTCTTTTGCCTTTTAGGCTCCACTTTTTTGCTTTTTACTTCAGTTTTCAAAACTGAAAAAGGAGAGCAGCTAATATAACTAACACTGGGACTAAAATGTGTTCACACTTTTGTGTTTTTCCTCTTTAGATAACACAATTTAAGGCTTTTTACCTCTGTTAAAACGAATGTGTTTCTTACAGTTAAGGGGATTTTAGGCAGTGGAGAATAAGCACTAGAAAGCATGTCTGACTTATTTTTGGAGGTGAAGGGTGGGAAGTAGACGTTTTTTTCTAATTTCTGAAGTTGGGCTTTCCTGGCTTGTCTTGAAGTAAATGAGCCTCTAGGTGCATTGAATTGCAATGCCAAATCAGTATAGGTAACAGAGCTTAGTCCTTCTCATTTGAATTTCTTAATTTAGCCCCAACCACAGACCTTCCGACCCTCCCTTTCTTTCCTTAAAACGTGTCCTTAAATCTGCTTTATTTATCAAAAGAGCTCTAGGATAGACTACTCCATTCTTTGAATTATACTGGCTGCTCATAGAAACTCTCTGGGGCTTTTTTGCCTCCTAAGACTTCAGACTGAAAGTGGGATATAGGTGTTCAAAGGATCGTGGAGGATCGGAAGGGAGTCGAGGGAACCTCTTGTTGCAGAGTAAGATAATCTCTCCATGTCTCAGCTGCTTTATCTTTAAACAGTCATTCTATTCTTTAATTTATCCCCTTGCTTAGTCATTCATGTATTCATAGAAATCATTTACATTGGGAAAATGAGTGCTAAAATAATTTATTCATGCTATGTGATAAATCCTCCCTTCATCGCTACTGTCTTTATCCCTTTTCATGGAGAAATCCTGATCTAGTTTTCTAGCTTTTACTCCTGTCCTCCAATATTGGATTTACACCACAGCAAAGTAATTAAAATCTTAGATCATGCCATTTTCTTATTTGAAACCAGTGGCTCTCAATGTTAATATGTATCCAAATCATCTTGCAGGTTTGTTAAAATGCAGACTGCTGGACCCATGGTATTAGTTAGGGTTTTTCAGAGGAGTAGAGTCAATAGAACATGTATAAAATTATAAATGGGGATTTGTTGGATTGGCTTAATGATTAGAGGTGCCTAGTCCCATAGTGGCCATCTGCAGGCTAGAGACCTGGGGAAACCAGCAGCTGCTCAGCTCCCTAGCTGCTCAGTCTAGGAAGCTGGGAGCCTGGGAACAAGAGGGTCCAATGGTGCAGTCCCAACTCAAGGATGAATGTTTGGGAGTCCCTTGGAGAGTCATTGGTGCAAGTCCATGTTCAAAGGTTGAAAAATCTGGAGTCTGAAATCCATGGGCAGCAGCAGAAACTCACCTCCTTCAAAGAACTGAGCATGCCTGTGTGTGCCAGCTTCCCTCTCCTGCTTTTTTTTTTTTTCCCATCTGATGCCCCCTGGCTATTAGATGATGGTGCTTGTATTCAAGGCAGGTTTTCCTCACTCAGTTTCAGACCCACATGCCAACATCTTGGTAAATAATCTCACAGACACACCCAGAAGTGTGCTTTACCAAGTTTCTAGGTGTCTCTCAATCCTGTCAAGTCGGCAACCATTATACCCACCTAAGAGGTTCTGATTCAGTAGTCTGGTGAGGGACCAAGAATTGGCATGTTTATCAGTCCCAGGTAATGCTGGTGCTGCTGGCTTAGGGACCACACTGAGAAACTCCCACTTTAAGCCACATAATTGCCTATTTTGCTAGACTCAACCTGAGTTATTTCTGTGACCTGCCCTCTGCTCACCTCTCTAATTTCATCCCCTTCCACTCCCCACCTTTGCATTCCACTTTCACTTTTGTTGGTTTCTTACCTGCACTAAGCTTAGCCTATAGGGCTTTGCACATAATTCTTCATTTTCCAGAGTGCTCTGTATTCATATATTTCCATGGCTCGTTCTTTCTATATATTCAGAGCTTGATCAAGTGTTATCTCTTCAGAAAGGTCTGCCTTGAGCACCCGATCTGAAGTAGCCCTCCATCTCCTTCTTTGGCCTCTGACCCTGCTATTTTCTGTCACACTATCCCCTGTGATTTCTTTTCATGGTGTTTCTCATTATTATTTGGTTTAGTTTCATATTTATCATGTTCGCTTCTGTATCCCTGGTTTTTATGTGTTGGCACATTGGAAAGACTAACATTTTTTGCCTGGGAGAATGAATAAATTATACTTTAGAAGTGTGTACACAGATATTTTTAGGAGCATAGTGAATGAATGAGTAAATTATGCTTGAGATCCGGGTATGGAGTGAAAGGTTGAAATAATCTCTAGTGTCCATTACACTTATAAAATTTATAGCTCTAGCATCCAGGGCCCTTTTCTTTACGGCATAAATTATCCTGATTTGTTTGTATAGTTTCCTGCATATGCTTTTTTTGGGGTGGATACTGGGGTTTGAACTCAGGGTCTCACACTTGCTATGTTGGTGCTCTACTGCTTAAGTCCTGTCCCCAGCTTTTTTGCTTTCATTATTTTTTGAATTGGCTCTCACATTTATGTCCAGATTGGCCTGGACTGAAGTCTCCTTTCTTTCTTCCCTCCCTTCCTCCCTCCTCCCTCCCTCCCTCCCTTCCTCCCTTCCTCCTTTCTTCTTCATTCCTTCCTTTAGAGCTGGATGACAGGTGCACAGGACTGCACCTAGCTATTGGTTGAGATGCGGTCTTGTGAACTGTTATCCTCCTGATCTTTGCTCCCCCAGCAGCTAGGATTACTAGCTTGAACCACCATGCCAGGCTCCACATATACTTAATATTCTGCCACTGTGTGTGAGGTTGACTTTGTGGCATATTTTGATTACACATTGGTGTTCACTTGGACATCTTCTTCTTTATGTATCAGTTGTTCCCTCAATCTAAAATGAATAAAGGGCAGTGAATGTGCAACTTTTGTTAGTTGCTCTTTAATTGAAGATCTAAGGGAATGGACTAGCTGTTTTGGACAATGTAGGATGGAAAAAAGTGAGAAGCAGGAGTCAGTAGGAGACAGTGAAGGTTCATTTAGGAATGAAAAGGATTGAGAAACATCTATTTATGATGGCAGAGTTTTCCTAATATCTTTCTTGCCATTATCTGTGACTTTTGTTCTCTATTTTTCTTTGTTATGATTTTGCTTTGGTTATAGATGTATAAGATTTACTAGACTTAAAGTCATGTTACACTATTATGAATAATTGTGGGTGGATTCCTTAAAATCCCTGAATGTGTATTCTCTTTTTTAAAAATGGTAGTAACAGGATTGGGATGAAGCTTAAATGAAACCTTACTTTATGAAATCATACTTTATAATTATACAGAAGTAATTAGCACAGTGCCTGGTACACAAAAGTCATCTATAGGTTGGTTGAATTCTTGATGCCATTATTGGCATCTGACTCTTTTGCACTTCCATTTTTATTTATTGTCTTTTCCTATATCCTCTTGCTGTTCTTTCCTTGCCATCTGAACATTAAAAATTGTTTAGTATCAGTTGCTTGACATGTCCGGTTCGTTTTATAGCTACTGTTTTCTTCTGATGAATTACTTTTGCTTTGGATTTTTTCTTTTTCCTAAAGTTTTGTCTTTAGAATGTTTGGATCAACTGCCCTAACTCATGTTTATACTATGTGACACCCCCCTCTGGCCTGTAGCTCACAAGAATGCATTACTATGGCAGGGCAGTGTAGACAGATATCTTTAGTAGGCTATCATTGGATTATCATCAGATGATAGTCATTTGTGAGAGCCATTGTTCATCCATTATGTAACTTAAACAATAAAGCTTAAGAAATATGAATTCAGAATTATGTGACTCATTTTATACTTTTGGCCACAATACTCACTGTGTTGTTAATATCACAGTTAGGGGCTGGGTGTGGAGATGGTTGTGGTTCATACCTGCCATCCCAGAACTTCTGAGGCAGAGAAAGAAGGATTGTGAGTTCAAGGTTAGTCTGGGCTACACAGCAAGATCCTGTCTTAAAAACAATCATAATTAGGACTATTGCCAACCTCATATTAGTCTGTGACACTGCTTCTATAGTCATGCTAAAATCAACTTCTATTACTTTGATTATCATTGTGGGCCCTGTGTTTGTTTTATACAGCCAGCCTTGTGTTTTCTTTTTCTTTTGACAATTGAAGAGAAATTGAGCCAAAATAATCTCAAAAGAGTGTTGGAAATAGAATTAAGAGTGGGTGAACCTTGATAAAATCTGGAAACACATTTCAAATTTTTAAATTGTGCTTCAATGGCCAGATTTTGTGGCTTTAAGTGATTTTTATCTAAAAAGTGATCTACTTCCCTTTCTATATGCTTACAAAGAATAGCTGTATATTTTTGAACAAAAACAAATTATGTAAATGCTAATATTCACTGATTGTTTACTATCTTTGAAGAAACATGTAGGGTACTTTACTTTTACTGTTTTACTTAATCTTAACCACATATTCCATAGACTCACTGTATTAAGCTCATTTTACAGGTAAAAAAATTAAGGTGAGAGAAAAATATTTTGTCCAAGGTCATGCTAATAAAAATTATGAAACTTCATTTGAAAATCATGCCTGCTTTATGTGTGTTTAACATATGTGCTCCCTTTCCACCTCTCTTGAGTGATCCCTGCATGTCAGAAACTGTACTCACATTTGAAGTTTCATCTTAGTGGAAGTACACAGACATTCTTTCCAGTCACTTCAAACAAGCAAGGATAAGTCCACTTTGATACTTGCATGGACAGATTGTTTTGTTTTCTAAGTACTTTTAAGCATGTTTTTTCTTTGCTGTACTGGGGTTTGAACTCAGAACCTTGACTAAGCAGGCACTGTACCACTTGAACCATACCCCCACCCCTAGTATTTTTAAGTACTTTAGTGTCTGCTGCAGGCCAATTTAAATCTCTGGTTTTATATATAACTCTTTTCTCCCTCTCTGAGAGGCCTGGGTCAAGTCTTGGCCTGTGGAACTTGAGATGCCAATACAGAGAGGGCATGAGGTTGGTTTTACTCCTCTTCTCCAGGCCACTCCCTTCTAGATTCTTTTCTGATGTGTTGTGTCAGGCAGGAGTGAAATGGAAAACAACAGAGGCTTTTTGAATTCCCTGGCGGTGGTAGCAGGCTTCCCTGGCTGTGAGAACCTCAGAGAGAAGCACGTTCGGGCTCCTCACTGACTTCTTCAGATCTCTCAGCTCCCATCCCCGAGGCCAGAACAGTCTTCAGGCTCCTGGCCAGAGGCCCTGGTCTGGGAAAGCAGCAGAATGACTGGACAGCTCAAGTTTTCCTCTCTACAGCAACATCTCCCTAACTCACAGGAAACTTATGTGATTGCCTTACCAATAGTGGGCCTATAGATTGCTCCCAGTTTTGCTTTATTTTTAACTTGCTAATAACTCTTTCCAGAATCTTCTTCCTGTACTTAGGATGATCAGGAAATCCACTACCTCAGCAGATGCTCTCTGGGAGGAATAAGATAAAAATCTCTCAAGTTCTACCAGTCATGGACCTCTCTTCCCAACTCAAATTCTGCAGGGAATACTTTCTTTCTCTCTTTACCTCAAGGAAGGGTAAAAAGCACATCACACTCTTCCTAGGCCAATAACTCATTTCTTTCGAGGAATTTCCCTTCTGGTAGTGGAGTGATAGTGACAATAACCCCTCAAATTCTGAAGGAGAGTTCTGATCTTCTTGATAGCCTTTTGCAATATGAGGCATTTGGCCCCCATTGTCCTCAGCTTAGATCTCATTTAGAGGCAAGTAGGAAAGTCCAGCTAACTCCTCATACACCAGCATTGTGTCACTTAATTCTCACAGACACTCTGGAGGTACCACCTGTTATATGAGAAGGAAAGTTATACTGACAGAGGTTATGTTACTTGCCCAAAGTCTCACAGATGGAAAAGGGGTAGAACCATGACTCAAATTCTGCCAGGCTTCAAGTAATTTATTTATTTGTTGTCCATACACCACTGCAATAGACATTACAGTGTGTTTACTGTTAACACAGTTGAGTGCCAGTGTACCATATTAATGCTCTTATTAATTCTTTTTCTAGGCAACTTCCTTATGGTAACAGAAGCAATGAAGTGCTCAGATGGGGATCCATCAGCTATTCAAAGCTGATACATGTCTTGGATCTCCTCGTCTTTTTTTTTTTTTTTTTCACAAATAGCTTTCTTGTTAATGGTTGCATCCCACTCTAGGTCCACACTATTCCTGATGCGAGTGACGGGTTATAGTAGAATTATGTCTAAAGGCTATTTTAAAATGACAGCATAGACTCCCATAGACTGTGTATGCCTGTGTGCATTTGTAGATGCTTTCAGAAACTTCTCCATATGCTAATTTTATTTTCTTTTTAGTTACAGGGATGCAGAAAAGAACGTCCACAATATCTCTAACAGATGCTCCTATGCAGACCATTCCAACAAAGAGGAAATTGAAGATGTCTCAGGAATTCTTCAGTGTACTGCTAACATACTCGGTATTTTAACTATTTGTTTATATGGTGGACAGAGAAAGAAAGGGGGGAAGAGGGAAAAGTAAAGACCTAAATGTTTCATTTTTCTGTTCACGAGGGTTTTGGAGAGTATGGCAAATTGAGACTAAGACCTGTTTTCAAATTATTTAGTTTTAACACTGTTGAAGATGTTTGAGTGGAAAGTAAGTATATACCACTTACTTGCAGATTGAAAAACATAATGACAAAAATACCTATATGACAGGGAAACTTTTCCAAATATTCCTATGTTAGTGATACTACCTTCCTGCAATCCATATTTCTCTAGCTCTAACTCTCAGGTGAAATGTAAGATCTTCCTTTCCTCTAAAAGTCATACTCTGTTATTTCTGGTAGGCCCTGGTTGGGGCTCACATGTACTCACGATGGAACTGTGCAGCCCAGAGTTCCCTTCTGTGATGGTGTCAGTGGTGATCATCTATTGCACTGCCCTGCTTGGGTCTGGGGGAGTGTGCATCTTGAAGAGATCAGTATTTATCTTTTGGACTTTGGAAGGTTCTGACATTGCTGAAAGTACAGTTATAAACTAGATTGGGTTATGCAGCCATAATGAAGTGAAACTGAGCTAAAGTAGATGCCATTCAGGAATACCTTTTGCTGTAATACCTTATAGGGATTTTTTAGTAAAAAGTATCTCTTTCAGTGCTTTTTGGAAACCTCTTTGTTTTTTCTTCTGACTTAGTATTCCATGGGGTGCAGGTAGAGGTGGTGGGAACAACAAATCTTGGTGACTGGTTCCACCCAATAAGCACAATCACATGTCCTTCAGAATCAGGTGATGGAGATGAGAGCAAAGTTGTTTGCCTGGTTTTCTTTTCCTTTGGAAAGTACTTTTCCTGGAGATACCTGAGTTCCTCCTACAAACAGAATCTGGGTGACCTCAAAGCACCAATCATCAGATTTTTCTAAATCTTCTGATTCTTAGAAGGAGACCTCTTTTACACTCACGCTGGAACTCCAGTTACCAACCAACTACCTTTTCATGCTATGTAACTTTTGCCAATGTGAAATATTGTGACCAGGAAATGAACCTTGTGTGAGGAGGAGCTTATAGATAGGTATAAGTGGTTTGTTTGTAGTAGGATTCAAGACAGTGGTAGAGAAAGGAATGCCAAAGATTTCATTTATCTTAATCTTAATACAGCTGCAGGGATTTCACACTACCTAGGTAAACCTTATTGGACAAGATGAGGGATGAGAATGAAGGGGGGTGGGGTTGGATATTACTTAGCCAAGGGCTATTTAAAGTTTTCTGATGTTGCATTTTCAAGTACTCTCCCACGAATAATGCATATTTGTCTTGACACATGATGGTTTTCAAAGGGTAGGCTAAGATGATGACTCACTAAGAGGGATCTGTCAGCATCTCTGTGGAGGGATGTTTAATATTTTGAAAAGTTGCTTCTCCTCCAATTTCTAAATGTGTCTGTGACCTTCACATCTCCTTCCCTTATACACACCACATTGAGTATCATTGAGTTAGAGGGAGTAGGAGGTGTTAAAAGACGTATATACGCGGAGTGCTAAAGTTCTGACTTGTAACTGAGCATGTAGAATTCTCCAAGAGAAAACCCCAGTCAGGCAATTTAGCATGGGAACCACCAGGGGACACTGTTGGCCCAGTACAGCTTAGTTGCCCTTTAAGACCTACCATGAGGTGTAGAGTAAGTAGTGGGAAAGAGCTGAAGGCAGTGATGTTAGAGAAACCTGATGATATTAAGGAAAGAGAGATCTTAAGTGCTTATAATTTAGAAGGTGATGGTACAATAGGGTTTATGTTTCCATAAATATTAGTTTTTTTCTAGAAAAGCAATATTAGATCTGACTTTTTTTCTTCTCTAAATAATGATGAATTGTTTTAAGAATTGAAGCACAGTCTTGTAAAATTTAAATCTGTGGAAAATAAACTTAAATGTCTGACATTTGTTACCCACCTACTGGCGTGGAGCTAACAGATGACTCTTTGCCTAAGAGGTGGCTGTTAACTTTTGAATAACATCCTTTCATAACTTGAAATATAGATGCTTTGAGGACAAAGCAGCTCTACTGGTCATAGTCAATGAAAGCTTGGTTTTTAAGAAGTCATTGAACTATGATTAATCTTGGCTTGCTAAGATTTCATCTCTTTAAAAAATTACATTTATCTATTTATTTACTTACTTATCTTCTTGGTGGTACTGGGGTTTAAACTCAAGGCTTTGTGCTTTCTAGTCTGGCACTGTACCACTTGAGTCATCTCCCCAGCCCTTTTTTGCTTTAGTTATTTTTCAGATAGGGTCTTATGTTTTTTGTTTTGTTTTGTTTTTTGCCTGGGACTGACCTTGAACTGAAATCTTCTTATCTATCTCTTCTGCGTAGCCAGGATTACAGGTGTGTACAACCATGCTTGGCCAAAATATAAATTCTTTTGCATAATCATTTATGAGAATGAAAGAATTCACTAACTCACTTACCAGCAAACCACCATACAAGAAAAGAAGAATTTTGGGGGAAGTTGGGGAGTTGCATGGCAAAATAGAGTTTCAACCATCTTAAGAGAAATTTTGATGTCTGGGAACATTCTGTATGGATGCAAGAACACAGTGGTCCAAGATTATGATTTACATTTATCATCTTTGGGGAGTGTGTTTAGAAAATTGATGGATAAAACTACTGATGTATTTCTTCTACTTCTTAACCTGTTACAGGGAAATAGTAGAGACTGGAAATTGTGTTTGTTTATGAACTCGTTTGTAGGCTGTTTATATTTGCATACCATTAAAAAAAGACTTGAAGTCATAAGTCAGAAAATATGATTGAGCAGCAAATTTTTGTCCTTTCAAAATGATCATCTCTATCTGCTCAGCATAATCTCCTATTGAGAGTTTGACCACTTACTAGGGCTTCACATTGAAAACTGAGGTTACTGGGAGATGTGTAATGAAAAGAGGGACCTGAAGAGACGGTGAGCGTGATGTGGAGAAGACCAGTAATGCCTCCATCATGTGTTCTCTGCAGGATGCCCTGGACACACTTGCTCACTACAGGGAGTGGTAATGGAAAGAATTGTTTCCTGATATCATTTTTTCCATTTATTTCTCTTTTGTTAGCTTAGAAACCAGTGATACCTCTTTCCTGTTCCATGATTCACGAATAAGGAATATTAAGTGCAGTCTGCTCTTTGCCTTCTAGTTGCCTACTTTTGGTGCCTCTGTAATCACTGTGTAATACAGCTCAGTACTCTAGAGAGGCCCTGAAAGTGTTGGGAGAAGATTATGCAAAGAAAGACAGTTGTGCACAATGCTCTCGCGGCTGGAGGCTTTTAGTGTTAAATTTACTGCATTATTTGGTTCATAAAGTCATTTGCATACTGGAGTCATCTAATTTTAGTTGTCTGAAAAATATAAGCCTTTTTTAGCCATAATATGCAAAGTCTATTTTTAGTTTTCATTAAATAGTAAAAATGTGTTGTGCTCCTGTGAAACATGACATTTAGTATTTTACTGGAAATTGTAATGGTTGAATGGTATGATGAAGTATGTATTAACGGGATCTATGCCATGTTTGTGGCTCAAACATTGTCACCCAGCCCTGTGGCTTGGAGTTACAAGTGTTGTAACTCCAAGGTTAGGACAGAGAGTGAATGAGACAGAATTAAGGGAATGAGACAGAATTAAGGGAAAGAGATGACAAGTTGCATCATTTTCTTTGCCACAATGAGTTAAATATAAATGTAGTTTATGACTGTTTCAGTTTTGACAGGTTTTAATGCTATTAAGGAAGTTGTAATGCTGCAAGGGTCCTGGGTGGCGGAGATGGTGTCTGAAAAAGACATTGCCCAGTAGGTCACAGGTCAAATAGGCATGACAGCTTTAGGTCAACACATTTACTGGTGAATTGTAGCAGACTAAGGTTTTCTATTTTAGTACCTATTTGCTAAGTATTGCACAAAACATCATTTTATTCTGCCCTCGCTAAGTGTTTTTTCCCTCAAAATAGTCAAGAAGAGCAAGAGTTGTGAAAGGACATTCATTAACATTTTCTCTGTTTTAAAGGTCTCTTGTCAGAGTGGTGTTTTATCTTCTTCAAAAAGTTAACACATTTAAAGTCAGAATGAGAGTAAAATTATCATGGGATTATTTGTTTTGAAAGTGCTGGTGGGGCTGATGGAGGAGGTGATCTCTGGGGCTTATTCCTGACAGTGTTTTCTTGGTATTGGAGATTCTGAAAGACTGTGAAATCAGAGCCCTTTATAAAGTGCCACAAATTCCAGATCTTTAGGAACTATGGAGCTTCTGATATTGTTTATATTTTATAAGGAACAATTTATTGTTTTCATGTCAACTTTATGTACTTTTGAATTTCATTTTGATTTGGAATGTGCATTTAGGAGCCTTTTAATTTGTTATAAAGCTGCAAAGAATTTGTCTTACATTAAAGCTGCTACCTGGGAGTTTTCTTAGAATAACTCTAGGTTAAGTAATAGTTTAGTAGATTAGAATATGTTTAACATATTTTTACTCTTGGACAATTTACCACTTAGCCATTTTTATTGGTAAATTAAGATTGATAGCAATAAGAAAATTCTGTTAATATAATTTTCATTATGGTAACTTGGTAACTGATCAGTTTTCTTCTTCTATAAAAGTCAGCACTTTTGTATTTTAATAAAATGAATCAGAATTAAGGTGGTTAGAGGGGAAATAAGTTATGATATTATTGTAATGTAATGATTTGGAACAAAAACTGGGGCCAGATTACTTGGGTTGGAGACACAGCTCAGTGACTTACTGGTTTTATGAACTTCAGTGACTCCCTTCATATTTCCATGCCTTGTATTTCTCATTGTAAAATGGGGAAATATAATTAACATATTTCCTCTTTTGGAGTTGCTAGGAGTATTAGGTAATTTATATAAAGTATTTAGAATAACAAATGCTATGTAAATGATTTTTCTTATAATTCAATATTAATAATAGTCAACA